GAGACCTGACAGTGTGCCCGACGGAACCGCAGGACAAGGAAGGACAGTGGAGGAGGTCGCAATGACCGGACCCCCAGAGGGGTCAGCGAGGGAGACAGCCACTGGCCGAGCAAGCTGCTCAAGGGCAGTGCGGTCACGAAAGAAACAGCGAGAAGCACCTGAGTCCAGTGTGAAGGTGTGCAGTGCCTCAGTAGACTCAGTACCAGGTGGGGGAGACTCACTAGCACCTAGTGCAGCAGCCTCACCAGCACCTGGGGCAGCAGACACGCTAGTACCTGGAGCGGCAGCCTCACCAGCACCTAGGGCAACAGACGCACTAGCACCTAGAGCGGCAGCCTCACTGGTCCTAATGCCCGGGTCGGGCGGAACACGCTGGTACTGAGCACCCTCTCCACTAGTAGACAACACATACATGGCAGTGAGAATAGCATCAAAGTCAAGAGCATAGATATCAATGTTCTTCCTCATCAGATCAGCCCAGCGGGGCAGCTCAGTGGCAGCAGGGAACTGAGTGCGCCAAGCGTCGTCGAGGCGGGAGAAGCAGCGCTGCGCGGTGTGCGCCCTCCCACACGTCTGGCCAGTGCGGTCACCAGTGCGGATGACGTACGTGCAGCTAAGGCCACCCCCCCCCCCGTGCTGAGAGTACCACTCACGAAGCTCCTGGGACGACGGAGTCTGCTGTCCGCCAGCGCCTCCACGACCACCACCGCCGCCGCCACCACCTCGACCACCACCGCCCCTGCCGCCGCCGCGTCCACCACCGCCCCCACCACCGCCCCCACCCCGGCCACCTCCTCCTCCGTTGCCGCCACCACCCCCACCGCTGCCACTAGCTCCTCCAGCCCCGCCACCGCCCCCACTGCCGCCACCGCCCCCACCACCGCCTCCCCCGCCGTCACCTCCACCTCCCTTGCCCCCTTTGCCCTTGCCGCTGCGGCGCCAGCTCGGAGCGGACGCAGTCCCGACCTGCTCAGTACCAACGAGGTCGACAGCAGCAGCAGAGGCGACAGAGGGGAGAAGGGGGGAAGGGGAACACCCCTCGAAGAAAGGGGTGCGGGGGTCGCCACGAGAGGCAGCTACAGCGACTATGCTAGTCTCAGCTGCAAAGCAGTTCCTTCTCGAGCAGGTCAACGGTGAGCTCAGTGGGGCAGCGAGCGAGGAAGTGGTCCCTGACCGCACGAAGAGAGTCAGGGAGACGGGTGACCAGGTGGTAGAGAGTGAGCCAGAGCGGGGGGGGGTGCGTGGCAAGAAACTCAGCGGGCATAGCGGCACGGAAGCGGGCCTCACTAGTGCGGAGGTGCGTGATGAGGTCAGCGACTGTGGCGAAAGCGGACAGGTCTGGGAACAGGTAGGGGAGCGAGAGACGGCCTAGCGCAGCAGAGGCAGGTGAGGAGTAGCGTGCAACTACAGCAGTGTACAGTGCCTGCGCAGTTTTGTGCTGGCCAAAGTGCTCGCGCTCATCTACCGGCAGGGAGTTGCGAATAGCGAAGCGAGCGTGGGCGTCACGAGTCTGCCACTGGGAGCGGGCAGTACTGTCAGCAGTAGCAGCAGGGGCAGCAGCAAGTCCTAGTGCGTGATCGTACAGCGAGATATCCTCCTTGGCAGTGAGCTGGAGGAACAGGTGCAAGTCATCTAGCCAGGTGTCAAACTTCAGCGGGCGGCCCTCAGCATCGAAAGCGAGCATAGCAGGGCTAGCCATAGTTGCAGTAAGAGCAGTAGCAGTAGTAGCAGTAGTAACAGCAGTAGTGTCAGTAGCAGTGACAGCAGCAGTGGCGCGGCTCGGTAGGGCGGCGCGTCTCGGTAGGGCGGCGCGGCTCGGTAGGGCGGCGCGGTTCGGTAGGGCGGCGCGGCTCGAGCCGGGTGACGCGGTTCGGTGGGGCGGCTCGGCTCGGCTAGGCGGCGGCTACTCGAGGTGGGGCACGCGAGGGCGTGCAGGTCAGAGCGGGGCCGGTCCGCACGGGGCACGAAGTGGCGAGCTAGCGAGGGCGGGGCCTGGTCGCACGGGGCACGCAAGGGCGGGCTAGTGGGGCGGGGCCTGGTTGCACGAGGCACGCAAGGGCGGGCTAGCTGGGCGGGGCCGGTACGCGAGGGGCACGCAAGGGCGCGCGGGTGGGTGTGGGCCGGTCGCACGGGGCACGAAAGGGCGCGCGCTAAGGGGCGGGGCCGGTCCGAAAGAGGCGCGCAAGGGCGCTCGGGGCAGCGAGCGCGCGAGGCCGCACGGGGCACGCAAGGGCGCGCGGGGCAGGCTACGCGCGTGGTGCTGCGCGGGTCGCACGCTAGGGCGTACGAGGTGAGCGGGGCCGATCGCACGGGGCACGCTAGGGCGTGCGGGCTAGGCGGGGCCGATCGCGAGAGGCACGCTAGGGCGCGCTAGAGTGAGAGAGAGAGGAGGGCGCTCGAGGGCGCGACTAGGCGAGGCGCGCTAGGGCGCGACTATGTGAAAACGGTGGGCCCATCGTTCGGTCCTAGGTTACGACCTAGGCTCGTAATACCATGTGAGAAACTAAGAGAGAACGAGAAATGAATGAACTAGCAGAAAGTTGGGTACAAGTAGGAAACCCTAAGTTTGTTGTACCCCCTATGGCTAAACCCACTATAGCCTACACTATATAAACATATAATGTTTGACACCCACACCCCCACCCCCCTCAGCGGCAGCTGCAGCAGTGGGAGACGAAGTAGGAGGAAGAGAAGGGGAAGGGTAGCACCCACACCGCTCACCCCCATGCCCGCCACCCCACACCCCCCACCACCGCGGAACGCACGGCGGCACGGGAGCAATGGGCGGCACGGGGGGGGGGGGGGGGGGAGGGGGGCGACGGGACAGCAGGGGCCACGAGCGCCTAGCCAGGGCGCCGCGACAGACCAGCAGGGGCCGCGCGCGCCTTGCCAGGGCGCCGCGACGGACCAGCAGGAGCCGCGCGCGCCTGGCCAGGGCGCCGCGACGGAGTAGCAGGGGCCGTGCGCGCCGTGCCAGGGTGCCGCGACGGACCAGCAGGAGCCGCGCGCGCCTGGCTAGGGCGCCGCGACGGAGCAGCAGTGGCCGCGCGCGTCTCGCCAGGGCGCCGCGACGGGACGGCAGGGGCCGCGCGCGACACACCAGGGCGCCGCGACGGGACGGTTGGGGGACGCGCGCGTCGCTCCATGGCGCCGCGACGGACGGGCAGGGGGCACGCGCGTCTCCCCAGGGCGTCGCGACGGAGCAGCGGGGGCGGCGCGCCAGGAAGAAAAGGGGCCGCGCGCCCCGGGGCGCGCGCCAGAGAGTAAACCGCCGCGCACCTCCGGCGCGCGGCGGGATGAAAAGTACATCGCACGCCACGGGGCGTGCGACAGATCGAGTAGCAGCGGAAGCAGGTTGGTGGGCCCACAGGCCAAGAGCGTAAATGCTCTGAAACCATGTCAAAATTATGAGAAGAAGTTTAGAACAAGAAAGAGAGGTTGCACTAGCAAGCAGTTGAGTACATATAGGAAACCCTAGATTGGGCTGTACTCGCTATAGAGTACCCCACTGCAGGCTAGACAAATACAACATTCTGACATTGTCTGCCCAAAATTCAGGTGCAAACGGTTCGATGGCCGTCAATCCAAGCGGAATTGTCGGTCCGTCGACATTTTGACCAATGAAAAAATTACTGCGTAGAAATCTCACTAACTCTGCGCCGTGAGCGAAAACTGGGCAGTAACAGTGCGACAGAAGCGAAAGTGTTGCGCTTTTGGCGTATAGTTTCAGTAACAGTGCGGGATCAACTAAAAACCCTTTATGAATGGATGGCGTGCGTTGCCATGAACTCAGGAAGCGTGTTACTGTTGGATGAGTTCTAAGGGAGTATTCCTAGCTTTGGGACATCCGATTTAAAATTTAAGAGCCGCGATTTTGCCGACTCGAGCTTCGGGTCTTCCGCTTCGGGAGTTAGCGAGCTTCAGCGTACATGGTGGGCGAAAATACTTTCTCCCCAGTATTTTTATCGCGTAGTACACTCCTATTTTGTGCAGCATTTTGTGCAGCTAACATAGTGCGACGTTTCTGAATTTGCGACAAAAATTACACTCCTATTTTGTGCAGCATTGCACATTTCTGTGTCGTCCAAAATCGGAATTGGTCGCCAGTTCGCTTTGACGATCGCAACTTAAAACGACGAGAGCTATGATTTCGGGTAGCCAACTAAATATTTGTACAGAAAAATCGTGAACAAGGTCGGCTCATTGAGTCGAGGTGCTGCATTGCAGCTCGTGTCTTCCCAAGATTTGGGATGACTCGAACACCGGATGCCCCGAAGCCAGGAATCCGCCCTAAGGACGCATCCCCTAGGCGGCGACCCTGCGATCGATCCTACAAAGGATCGTATTTTGGCATGGTTAGAAGAGGTTCTAAAAGTCTCTAATGTACTAAGGAGGAGTTAAGTGTGGTGGAGGACAGCTTTTGCACGATCTATTGCAAGATCAATGTGTCGAGAAACGCTAGCAGAAAGTTAGAAACAGAAAGGGGGGTTGCACTAGCAGCAGATAGGATACATATAGCAAACCCTAATTGGGGCTGTATGTCAGAATGTGTTTGCTGTCTAGTCTGCAGTGGGGTACTCTGTAGAGAGTACAACACAATTAGGGTTTCCTATTTGTATCCCAACTGTTGCTAGTGTTAGAAAGAACGAAACAGGAATGGTTGAACTAGCAGAAAGTGGGGTACAAGTAGGAAACCCTAAGTTTGTTGTACCTCCTATGGCTAAACCCACTATAGCCTAGACAATATAAACAGACAATGTTTGACACATCCCCATAGGCTAAGTGGGGGACAACCGGATGGCCACAAGACCAGTCAAAGCAAAGCAAAGCAAAACAAGCTCAGGGTGGATCTCAAGGATACCACACAAATTCCGAGCACAAGCAAGCGGTCACAAGACCAGTTCACATGCAGTTTGATAATATAACAAGAGGTACAGTGATCACAACCTAGCAAGTGAAAGCATGCAGGTATATATATAGAGATCACAGTACAAGCAGAGTCAAGAAGTGAGCAAGTGAGGGAGAGTAGGCACAAGGCCTAGAACAGTACAGAAACGCTGATGATCACAAGGCTGAAGCGCCTTGGTGAACACATCAGCAGTGTTGGCCTGAGTGGCCACGTAACGCAGACGAAGCTGACCACGCTGCTGCAGCTCTCGAGCAAGGAAGTAGCGCAGAGCAATGTGCTTCGTTCTGTGCTCCAACCTGTGCTCCTGACACAAGGCAATGGCTGCCTTGTTGTCGACGTACAGCACTGGAGGAGAACGAGGCCGCTCTCCGAGGTCGGTCAGCAGGTAGGTGAGCCAGCGTAGCTCCTGGGCAGCCATGGCTGTGGCGTAGATCTCAGCCTCACAACTGGAGCTGAGAACAGAGGAAGAGCGTGTAGAACGCCAGGAAACAGAGCCAGAGCCAAGGCTGAAGGTGTAACCCTGAGACGACCGCTGCGTAGCCTGGTCGTCAGCCCAAGAAGCATCTGAGTGTCCAGTGAGGACAACGTCGCGCCGTCCTCCAAGCACAAGCCCCATGCCCGACGTACTGCACAAGTAGCGCAACACCCTCTTAGCGGCATCCATGTGCTCCTTCCGGTGACGGCCAGGAGCGACATAGCGTGCTAGGATGCTAAGAGGGTATGCAAGGTCAGGTCGAGTGCAGGTCATCAGGTACATGAGGCAGCCCACAAGCTCTGGATACGGGCCACTCGGCTCTACGGACTCATCCGAAGGCAGAGCTGGGAGCGAGTGACCGGTAGGCAGAGGAGTGGGCTGAGGCGAGGAGTACGTGAAGCGGAAGCGCTGAAGGACCTGCTGCACCATGTGTGACTGAGTCAAGGTGATGGTGCGCTGTGCTCTGTCCCGGGTGATCCGCAAGCCAAGATAGCTTGTCAGCTCACCCAGGTCTGTGCACGTGTGTCTCTTCTGCAGCTCCGACTTCACGTGGGCGAGTGCCTCAGTGTCAGCAGTAGCAAAGACCAAGTCGTCTACGTACACGAGAACGTAGAACGGCGGCAGAGTGGTGTCGGTGCGTAGAAACAGCAACAGGTCAGCAGTAGAAGGAGCAAACCCAAGAGCAGCAAGAGTAGTCCTCAGTGTGTCGTGCCACTCACGGGGCGCCTGGCGGAGACCGTAGACCGGCCGCCGGAGGCTCCACTGGGTACCAGGAGGGAACGACCCAGTGAAGCCAGGTGGGCGGCGCAGCCAGATCTCCTCGTGCAGGGTGCCCTGTAGGAACGCAGTGCCGAAGTCAAGGCAGTGGAGCTAGTAGTCACGCTGAGCAGCGACGTGCAGCAGAACCCGAAGAGTGGTCATCTTCGGGGTCGGGGAGAAGGTCTGGAAGAAGTCAACTCCCTCTCGCTGACTGAATCCTCGTGCAACGTAACGCGCCTTGAAGACAGGCGGAGAACCCGGCGGCCGCTTCACCCTGAAAATCCACATGCCACTGACGATGTTCGCCCCAGGTGGGGGAACCTCGTCGACGTAGGTGCCTGTGGACTTCCAGGAAGCCATCTTTGCGTCCATGGCTGTCTGCCACTGAGAGGAGTAGAGACCCTCCATCGCCTCTGCGTAGGAGCGTGGGGTCGGGATGTCTGGTGCATCCGGGTCTCCCTCAGGGGCAATCAGCATGGACACGAGATGAGGTAAAGCAGCAGCAAAGCACTCAAACTCCTCCTGTCTGTCCTCAAGGACGTCCGTGCCAAGAGCACACTCACCCCCGACTGACGGAGGACAGACAGAATCAGACTCAGCAACAAGGCTATCAGCGTAGTCTAGACGACAGGCGGCAGCAAAGTCAACAAGCTCAGCGACTAGAGCAGACGCAGCAGAGGACTCAAAGGTAGGGTCAGTGAGAACAGTGGCAAGGAGACGCGCGACAGTAGGACTGGCAGCACGAGTAAGGTCTGACGGCGGGTCAGCAACGTCAGGAAGAGAGGACGCAGGAGGAGACGGCAGAGGGACGCGCTGTGGAGCAGTGGAAGGACGCAGAGTCATATAGTGAGTGCCAAGGACAGGAGGAGGACGCTCACGCGGAGCACGACGACCAGCGCGGACAGCGCGGACGGGCGACTCTGGACGCGACTCAGACGACTCTGGACGAGACTCAGGCGACGGAGGACGAGACTCAGGCTCACGACGCTCAGTAAGACTACCCGTCGGCGCAGTGTAAGGAGAAGGACCAGGCAGTGGAGAGGCAGGCTGTAACTGTGACTGGATAGGCGGTGGACTCAGTAGGGGAGGAGTAGAACCAGGAGAGGGCGGGAGACCCAGAACCTGCTGAAGGAGCGGAACGTAGTACGGCCGCGGCCGCTCAGCAACTCCAGCTCCAACCCCCTCAGCAGCTCCAGTCCCAGCAGCTCCAGTACCTCCAGTACCAGTAGCACCTCCAGCAGCACCGCCAGCAGCAGCAGTGCCTCCAGCAGCTCCAGCAGTTCCAGCACCAGCGGCACCAGTACCAGCAGCACCTCCAGCAGCTCCAACACCAGCAGCACCTCCAGAAGCTCCAGCAGGACCAGCACCAGCAGCACCAGTACCAGTAGCACCTCCAGCAGCTCCAGCAGCACCTCCAGCAGCAGCAGCACCTCTAGCAGCTCCAACACCAGCAGCTCCTCCAGAAGCTCCAGCAGGACCAGCACCAGCAGCACCAGTACCAGTAGCACCTCCAGCAGCTCCAGCAGCACCTCCAGCAGCAGCAGCACCTCCAGCAGCTCCAACACCAGCAGCTCCTCCAGCAGCTCCAGCAGTACCAGCACCAGCAGCACCTCCAACAGCTCCAGCAGCACCTCCAGCAGCAGCAGCACCAGGGTCCACGACACTAGTAGCGCCACTCCGGAGACTGCAGCGACGAGCGTACCACTCTCGAAGCCGCTGGGGAGAGGGCAGCTCCCGCCTAGGAGGGGAAGCACGAGCACGAGCTCCAGCATCACCTCTCCTGAGGCTGCAGTACTGTAAGTACCACTCACGCAGCTGCTGTGAGGAAAGAGCGCCTCCAGGTGTAGTACTCTCAGTCGCAGCACCCTCAGGCTCAGCAAACCCAGACTCAGCACCCCCAAACTCAGCACCTCCAGGCTCCGCACCCCCAGACTCAGCACCCGCAGGCTCCGCACCCCCAGACTCCGCAACCCCAGGCTCCGCACCCCCAGGCTCCGCACGCTCAGGCTCAGCACCCCGAGCAGGACGAGAGTCGACAGCTACCTCAACAGGCTCAACCGGGTCTACCTGGGACACACCTGAGGGAGCAGCACCCTGAGGGGGGAGGGGGTCTACCACAGCAGCACCTGGCGCGAGGAAGAGAGGCGGTGGGGGGAGCGGGGCAGTGCGGTAGGGGAAGAGGCGGTAGTAGGGCACCGACTCGTCAAAAGTGACGTCCTGAGAGGGCAGGACACGGCGCGAGGTGGCGTGGTAAAACTGCCAACCAGACGCGTCCGGGACAAAGCCAAGGAAGACACAAGGAACAGCGCGGGAGGAGAGCTTGTCCGCAGACGTATCGCGGACAAAAGCTCGAGATCCCCAGACCCGGAAACGCGACGCATCGCCAACCTTCCCCGTCCACAGCAGTGTGGGCGAGGTCTCCGGCAAGGAGACACGGGGCCAAAGGTTGAGCTGATGCGCAGCGTACCGGACCGCAAACGGCCACAGAAAGTGGGGGGCAGCCGCATGGATCAAGGAGGTACGAGCGACCTCCATGACCAAGCCAATGCGGCGCTCAGCAACCCCATTCTGCTGTGGAGAGGCCGGAAGCGTGAACGACTGGCGGATGCCGTGCTCCGCACAGTAGGCTGCCAAGAGGTCGGAGGAGAACTCACCACCTCTGTCAGAGTGCAGACGCAGGACAGGAAAGTCCGAGCGGAACCGCTCGCTGAGCTGGAGACGAGTGGCGCTGATCCAAGGGATCAAAACATCAGGGACCTCACCCTTGGTGCGCAAGGGGAAGACCGTGGTGTAGCGCGAGTAGTCGTCAACAACTATCAGGAAGTACCTCTCCTGACCCTGTCCACGGACGCGGGCTGGGCCCCACACGTCCATGTGGAGCGTCTGCAAGGGAGCAGTCGTCGGGGGAAACGAGGAGGAGTGAGGAGCGGCGCGCTGCCGCCCCTCGACACAAGGAAGACAGGGAGGAGCAGGCGAGGGTGGGAGGGGAGGGAGTACCCGGGGAAGACCAGAGACAAGGTACCGTTTGTGCATGGCACGAAGGCGCTGCACTGACGGGTGACCAAGGCGGTGGTGCCAGAGGACGGTCTCGTGTGCTAGAGAGCGACACGAGCAGGGGACAGACAGCTGACCTGAAGCAGACGCAGACGCAGCTACCTGAGGGGACTCAGTGGTCAGTGTGTACAGGTCCGACCCCGGCTGCCTAGTGAAGGTAGCCAGGTGACGGCCCGTCCGAGCACACGTGCAGTGTGTCACGCGCTCGTAGGCAGGGGTGAACTGGTGGACACCCCCGTCCTGGAGCGCACAACCCGCCACCAAGTTCGTAGAGAACGAGGGGAGGTGGAGACCTGACAGTGTGCCCGACGGAACCGCAGGACAAGGAAGAACAGTGGAGGAGGTCGCAATAACCGGACCCCCAGAGGGGTCAGCAAGGGAGACAGCAACTGGCCGAGCAAGCTGCTCAAGGGCAGTGCGGTCACGAAAGAAACAGCGAGAAGCACCTGAGTCTAGGGTGAAGGTGTGCAGTGCCTCAGTAGTCTCAGTACCAGGGGGCGCAGACTCACGAGCACCTAGAGCAGCAGCCTCACCAGCACCTGGGGCAACAGACACACTAGCACCTAGAGCGGCAGCCTCACCAGCACCTGAGGCAACCGACACACGAGCACCTAGTGCGGCAGCCTCACCAGTACCTAGAGCAGCAGACTGGATACCGGGGTCAGGCGGCACACACAGGTGACAGGCTCCCTCGGTACTAGTAGACAATGCATACATGGTAGTAAGAATAGCATCATAGGGAAGAGCAAATATATCTACCCTCTGTCCAAGCAGCTCCACCCAGTCGGGGAGCTCAGCGTCGTCGCCAAACTCTGTACGCCAAGCGTCAGTCAGACGGGCGAAGCAGTGGGACTCTGTGTGACCACGCGTCCCGCAAGGCTGACCAGTCCAGGCACCCGTGCTAATAACGTACGGGCAGCGAGCAGTACTCAGCGACCCTCTACTCTGAGCGTACCACTCACGAAACTGCTGGGGCGAAAGAGGGTCGCGCGGACGACGCTGCTGCTGCACCGGGCCACTACAAGAAGTTCCCGAACTACCCACTCCAGGACGACTCCCACTACGGTCACCCCGACAACCCCAACTGGCGTACCACTCACGAAGCTGCTGGGGCGTGAGGGACACACGCGGATGGCCGTGGAGCTGCATCTGGCCACGCCAGGAGCAGCAGTAGCAGCAGGAGCGGCAGTAACAGCAGTAGCAGCAGGAGCAGTAAAAACAGTAGCAGTGGCAGTGCGGGCAGGGCAGTGCTCACCAGTGGTAGGAAGGGCAGGCGCAAGACGGCAGCGACAGCAGGGCCGCTACAGCTGTAGGGCGGGGCCGGGTCGCGGCAGGGAGCTCCGCGGCAGCTGCTGCAGGGCGGGGCTGGGCCGCGACGGCAGCTGCTCCAGGGGCCAGGGGCGACTCCTGCAGTGGCGGCTGTTCCAGGTGGCCAGGGGTGGCCGCTGCAGGGGCGGCTCCTCCTGGGTCCAGGGGCGGCTGTAGGTGCGGCTGCTCCAGGGGCCGGGGGCGGCTGCTGCAGTGTCGGCTGGTCCAGGGGCTAGTAGCAGTAGGAGTAGCAGCAGTAGCAGTAGTAGCAGCAGCAGGAACAGTAGCAGTAGTAGCGTTAGGCGAAACCCTAAAAGCAGCAGGCAGCGCGACTCAGGTAGGGCGGCTCGGTCCAGAGAGGGCTGCTCAGTACGGGGAGGGCGGCGCGGCTCGGTTCGGGCGGCGCGGCTCGGCTCGGGCTGGGCGGCTCGGTTCGGGCGGCTTGGTTATGGCGGGGCCGTGGCTGTCGCGTGCGGGGCTGCTGGGGCTGCTGTGCGTGGCGCTAAGGGGCGGCGCGTGGGGTTGACGGGGCCGACGGGGCCGCTAAGTGGGGCGCGCGCGGGGTCGACGGGGCCGACGGGGCCTCTAAGGGGCTGCGCGCGGGGTCGACGGGGCCGACGGGGCCGCTAAGGGGGCGCGCACGGGGTCGACGGGGCCGACGGGGCCGCTAGGTGGGGCGCGCGCGGGGTCGACGGGGCCGACGGGGCCTCTAAGGGGCTGCGCGCGGGGGTCGACGGGGCCGACGGGGCCTCTAAGGGGCTGCGCGCGGGGTCGACGCGGCCGTGAGGGGGGGGCCTCTAAGGGGCGGCGCGCGGGTCGCTAAGGGGCGGGTCGCGGGTCGCGGGGCCTTACGGGGCCGTTAAAGAGGGGCGCACGAGGGCGCTGGGGGAGGTGCTCGAGGGCGCTCCGACAGTAGGGCGCACGAGGGCGCTAGTAGGCAGTCAGCAGTGGTGGGCCCTAAGAAAAATCGGTCCTAGCGGAGGACCTGCTCTGAAACCATGTTAGAAAGAACGAAACAGGAATGGTTGAACTAGCAGAAAGTGGGGTACAAGTAGGAAACCTTAAGTTTGTTGTACCCCCTATGGCTAAACCCACTATAGCCTAGACAATATAAACAGACAATGTTTGACAGCTAGTGCAATCCCTCTTCTCTGTTTCATTCTCGTTTTCTATCTTTCACATGGTTTCAGAGCAGGTCGACCCTCCCTGGTCGATCCTGTGGATGGGCCCACCCGATGCTTCCGCTGCTGTACTGCCTGTCGCGCGCCCCGGGCGCGCGACGTTTTCTGCCTGCCGCGCGCTCGTGGCGTGCGGCGTATCTTTTTCTTCCCGCCGCGCGCTCGGGGCGCGCGGCGGTTTTCTGCCCGCCACGCGCTCGGGGCGCGCGGCGGTTTCCTTCCGCCGTCGCGGCGCCCCGGGGGCCCGCGCGTCGCCCCCTCCCGTTGCCCGTCGCGGCGCCACAGGGGCCCGCGCGCTGCCCTACCCGTCGCCCGTCGCGGCGCCCTGGGGGCCCGCGCGTCGCCCCCCCTCCCGTCGCCCATCGCGGCGCCCTGGGGGCCCGCGCGCTGCCCTACCCGTCGCCCGTCGCGGCGCCCTGGGGCCCCGCGCGTCGCCCCCCCTCCCGTCGCCCGTCGCGGCGCCCCGGGGGCCCGCGCGCCGCCCTACCCGTCGCCCGTCGCGGCGCCCTGGGGGCCCGCGCGTCGCCCTCCCTCCCGTCGCCCGTCGCGGCGCCCTGGGGGCCCGCGCGTCGCCCTGGGGGCCCGCGCGTCGCCCCCTCCCGTCGCCCATCGCGGCGCCCCGGGGGCCCGCGCGCTGCCCCGCTTCTGCTCGCACGCCGCCCCAACTGCTGCCCGCGTTTCTGCCCCACGCCGCATGCGTTTGGGGTGTGGGGGTGGCGGGTATGGGGGTGGCGGGTGTGTGAGCCGTCCCCTGCTCCTCCTCCTCCTCCGTCTCCCACTGCTGCAGCTGCCGCTGAGGGGGGTGGGTGTGTGGGAGCCGAGGGAGTGGTGCTAGGGGGGGTGTCGTGGGAGTGGAGCTAGGGGTGCAACAAGGAGTGTGTGAAAGGGGGGTGGGACAGTTGGGGGAGGTTGAACGGAGGTAGCCGTCGTGTCGCCAGCAGCGCCAGTAGTCCGGAGGCTACAATCTCCGGTAGCCCAGTTTGAGCCAGCTGCGCCAGTTGCCCGTGGGTCCGTTGCTCCTGCCGCTCGTCTTAGCCGCGGAGCCAGTTACTCCTGTAGTCCGGGGCCCTTGCTCCGGTAGCCACCGTGCGCGCCGCTCCTGTTGCCCGTGTGTCTGCGGCTTCACCCATCGCCTCCTATCTCCACTCCTCTCACAGTCCCTCGGGCGCCGCGACGGGCGACGGGAGGGGCGGCGCGCGGGCCCTCGGGGCGCCGCGACGGGCGACGGGCAGGGCGGCGCGCGGGCCCCCGGGGCGCCGCGACGGGCGACGGGAGGGGGCGGCACGCAGGCCCCCGGGACGCCGCAACGGGCGATGGGAGGGGACAGCGCGCGGGCCGCCGGGGCGCCGCGACTGGGCGACGGGAGGGGGGACGGCGCACGGGCCCCTGGGGTGCCGTGACGGGCGACGAAACCGCCGCGTGCGCCCGGGGCGCGCGGCGGGCAGGAAACCGCCACGCGCCCCGAGCGCGTGGCGGGCAGAAAACCGCCGCGCGCCCCGAGCGCGCGGCGGGAAGAAAAAAACGCCGCGTGCGCCGGGCGCGCGGCAGGCAGAAAACGGCGCGCGCCCCGGGCGCGCGACAGGCAGGACAGCAGTGGAAGCAGGTGGGCCCACAGGCCAGGAGCGTTCTCGCTCTGATAGCATGTCGAGAAACGCTAGCAGAAAGTTAGAAACAGAAAGGGGGGTTGCACTAGCAGCAGATAGGATACATATAGCAAACCCTAATTTGGGTTGTACTCACTATAGAGTACCCCACTGCAGACTAGACAATTATAGCATTCTGACACAATGTTGGGGGGACGTGTCCTAAGGACGTGTTGCAGAACGTCTCGGGTCGATATGTCTCAGGGGATTCCCCAGAAAACGTCGATCTGGGGGCAGATATTCCGACGTAGCCACGTCGAGCGACGTACGGGAAGCAAAAAAAAAACAAAACTCTTTCGGATGGCACGCCGTTCGAGGGAGGCATCAACCCTAAACACCTTGCCCTACTTGT